GGAGCGACTTCCGCGACGCGTTCTTCCAGCGGAACCCCTTCGACGACTTCCGCGGCGACGCGCAGGGCAAGGACCTGCTGTTCTTCGGCGAGCACACCGTGCGCCCGCTGAGCGCGACGTCGGGCAAGGGGCTCTTCACGCGCGCGTGGGTCGAGGGCTGCTACGGCAAGGTCCTCACGCCCGACGTGACGCCCGAGGGCGCGCCCGTGCTCTGCAGCGGCAACGTCATGGGCACGGGCGCCGCGGTGCTCGCCTACCTCGAGGCCTACCTCGCGAACGTCGACGCGCAGGACGGTAACGCGAACTGGCACTGCTGGAGGGACTACGGCATCGACCAGGGCCACCACAACTACATGCATGTAGCTCTGCGTGGAAAGTTTGGGACGTCCCCACCAAACTTTGAAATTCTCTAGCTCGGTCAAATCGAAGTCGATTCGGCTGATTTTTGGATGAATCGATTGCTCTCAGCGGGTTCTCGAAGCACAGCCGGAGAGTTTGGTCCAAACCGTTCGATTGAAGTCGGATTGAAGATTTGATTTCCACACAGGGCCTACGTCGCCTACCCGAAGCACAAATTCGCGGTCGCGCCCTACGACGCGGGGCCGGCCTACACCGCGGGCCAGGTCATGCACGTGCCCGAGGACCTGAAGCGCGACGCGGCCGGCTACGTGCTCCGGGCCGACGGCCGCCGCGCGGCGCTCGTCCACCAGTACGACCGCCACCCCGTGCTCTCCCGCTTCTACGACACCGTCGTCCGGGACCTCGTCGAGAAGGCCTAAGCTCCTGTTCGGCACAAGGAGGAATCGAAGGGAGGGAGGACGGGGAGCACCGGCGTGGGAGAGCCACGGGAAGGCAACGACGAGGGCGAGGCCTAGGGCGGAGACTTACCTTGACGCGTCTCTAAAGGCATCCGTCGCGATCATCGTCCCCGTCGTCGTCGCGGCCGTCCTCCTCCTCCTCGCGGTCCTCTACGTCGTCCGCAAGCGCCGCGTCGGCGCCGGG